TTTTTGTCCTCATGAACAGAAAGATTGGTCTTTGAGACTAAAAAAATATAATAGTTGATATTTATTCATTAAATAGAGATGCCTAAGACTAAGCATATTCTGTTTTTAACTGTATAGAGGAGATACTTTTGATTCAAAAACAGACAATGAAAAGTCATTTCTTGTTACTACTAGGACATACTTACTTATAACTGGGGATATAAGCTATTCTCATTATAATAACTGTTGGTACAATCATAATTCTCCACAAATACTTCTGGATATATTCAATACTACCTTAATGTTGTTTTGTAGCAATTATTCCATAATGTAATTATTCCTTTATTAGACAAAAGAAGTAGACCTCCATTTAATTAATTACAAACTTGACATTTGTAAAATTTGCTGCTAAAATTTAGGTCCATTATTGTTTTAAATTCCTTAGCCTTCTTTCCTAGAAAAAATACTATATTCACATAAATTTTACATTTCATACTTTTTTCTAATTGCATTACTAAAATGAAGTGACAACAACTATTCAAACTGCAACTTTACAATTTATACAATGGCATTACAGTATTCACAGCATAGGGTGAGCCTATTCTCTTCAAAATTCTGATCTGTTTTAGCTTTCATTACAAGCCTTTTCTGTGCAGCCAGAGATAGATCTCACTTAACCACAGCAACTGGGACTAACAACTGCATTACTAAACAATTTAGTTGTAAAGTGAAACATCACATGACCACATTGAACTTGCATCAGTTCTGCTGTAATCATTAACCTAATAACACATGGTTATTATATGAAACATCGCATGACAATGATTTATAAATTACTGCCAACTTCTCCATTGACTTTGATTGTCAGAAGTCAGCTGTAAAGCTTACAAATGATGATTGCCTGACTGTGCGATGCTGAGGCCATCTAAGCTTGAGGACCATTCATAAAAGTACTTTCCAGCACTGTTGTTAAGTTCAAACAATTGCTAAACATGAAAGTCATTAACTAAGAACCACTTGTACAAAACAATATTACCTTCTAAATTGTAATATTAAAATACTAGGCATTTTGCCACTAATCATGAATTCTTCTACTTATTTTATAAGGCCAAAATATAATCCCCCTTATTTGATACTTCTTTAATTTGCCCATCCTCATGCTATTATTATACACACATTAATGTCTTACTCCTTCAGAATCTCCAAACAATTCTCAGATGCGCTATTAGACAATACATTTAAGACCAAGTTCTTTTACATTGGTTTGCAAGAAAAATAGATCTTTTCATCTTTGAAACAATATACTCACCATCCAAAAGGTCCCTTATTTTATCCAAATAAATTTCAAAATATGATACCTAAAAGAATGTGGCATAAGAAAGCTGTAACTTTTCACTTATGCAAAATGAATAGATATTAAAATAAAATACCTATGATTCATTTATAAACACTGAATACAATATTCTGAACCATTTTAGTAGCCATAGCGTTATAAATATTAAAAATTCAAAATAGCAATTAAAAAAACCTGGATCTGCGACAATAAGAACTTAGAAAATCAAAAATGATGCTGCATCTTAGTAAAAATGTCACTAAAGTTAGACATCACTGGGTTATTCAAATTTGTGAACTCAAGTACAAGTGAAAAACAACAATTGTCTCCCTAAAATTATATTATGTGTGATAATATATATGTATAAAATCACTAAAACCCTTCAAACATAAAATATGTAATCTTTGCTGTAAAGAAGTACTATTCTCAAATCTCTATGGCATTTCAAACTATAGAAATTTGAAAGTGTGAAGATTAATCTTACCCAAGTATCACATATACTCTGTTTTAATCCAAGCAATCATCAATTTTTGAATGAACTGATCTTTCATTCTTAGACCCAAGAATACTTTCTGATTGGCTTTTAATAATGTGCTTGCTTTAGTAAAGTTTAGTAAAGTGTGGTAAGAAAGTTTGGTTTGTATCTAACTTCTAACTAAAGGACTTTACAGTTTGCACAATGGGAAATTCTATTGCCCCTATAATAGGAAATTCCTGTACTCTATATATCTCCAAATTATTTCAGAAGGCTCTCAATCCTTCAAAAGCAACTCTGGATTTTCTTTATTCTTGCTATCTATCTAAAGGGCCAATGAGAAGACTATTCAATGCATCTAACAGAATCTGTTCTGAGCCAATCTAAACATTCTTAAAGTTTAAAACCATAAAGTTCTTAGGAACTTGACTGAGGCACAGTCTCATCTGGCAGTTTGAGGAGTTTGAGCCTGCTGCTGTCAATGTAGTGGACAGTGATATTAGACTTGTAAAGACTGCCCATATATTACATCATGTCCTTCTAACTGGCCACAGCTACAGTAAATTCATTCTTGGATAAAGGGTGATCCCATCTGTGATTAAGGAGATGGAGCATTCCCTTCTCAAGAAGCCATTGCTGGACAATTTCCATTAGGTCTCCAATCTGCCATTTTGGGGGGAAGGCTGTTGTGAACATGATTAGATTCAGCTTTGGAAGGCAATGGAGGAAGTGGATTATCTGGAACTTTCTCAATTGGATTCCAGGTCACTTTACAGCTCTTACAAATTGCCCCTAAAAGAATTGGGATTGTAATAGCACATCCATCCTGATTATTCTTAGTCTCTCAACAGTTTTCAATACCAGCAATCATGATGGATTTCTGGACCAGTTTAGGGGGTTTAGAAGTGTTGATGGTCCTTTCTTCATGGGGCTGGTTCCAGTTGGGTGTTTGTAGGGCAGAGATATCTAATCATAATCTAGATTATGAAATAATACATTGAAGATCTAATTATTCCCTAAGGCCCTAGGCCAGGGCACTCTGTGAATTGAATTGGGAAGATATATGAGTGGCCTCAGATGTGATGTTTTTTTAATTTTTATTTTCATAGCTTTTATCTGTTGTTTTTACAATATGCTAGTCATTCAGTTTCATATTGCAATTGTGGTATTGCAATATATTGTACACATTGATATAAATAAAATGAATGAATAAATTACCTTAATATGAAATTCCAAATTTTCATCCATGGAATAAATATAATTAAATATATCTTGCACTATTCTTGGAATAATCCCCATTCCATCTGGATCATGCAACTTCCCCTTAAAATAAAAATAAATTTAATTATTGCCAAGATTGCATACTTAGTCTGAAAAGAGTGAATAAGATTTTTGGAAAACTATATTCACGGTCATCTTATAATTCATAATTCAGATATTCACTAATGCGCTGGTCTTCTCATAGTTTGACAACTGCAATGTATTTTACATGGGATTGCCCTTGAAAACCAACTGGAAACATCAACTAATCCAGAATGCAGAATTCAGCAACATAAGCAGTGATAAGCATGTTTTGATGTCCATGTAACATCTCTGCTTCACTAGCTGAATGGTTGCTAATTTGTTTCCTCTGTGATTCAAGTTGCTGACTGCTAGCTGTAAAGTCCAACGTAACATAGGGCCTGTTTACTTGATAAACTAGATGTCTTTTATAGTGCCTGCCTGGCTGATCCCACCTGATCTCTGAATGCCTTCTATTAAACATTGACACATTTTGTGACCAGGAAACACACATTCTTTCTAGCAGCATTTGCAATCTAGAATGATGTTCAAATGGCCTCAGTCTACCCATGGTTCTTTGAAACTCTCCTTGGATTGTTGGGGTTGTTTTTTCTTTACTTCTATTGCTTTGTAATTTTTGTCAACTTACCTCCTTTCTATTGTCATTTTCTTGCTTTTAATTTTTTTTAACAATATGTAAACCACACAGAGTAATCAATGATCAGCATGCATATAAATTTAATAAGTTTTTAATTGCTATTATTATAAGAAAAATGTACAGACACGATCCAGCTAAATCTAATCAATAACCCACTAATTTCAACTCTGAGAAATAACTACCTGTTTTTCCCACTGAAATTGATGGAATGTAATACAATTTACCAAATTATCATTATATTGTATAGAGATAATCTTTGCTTAACAATAGTAATTGGGACAGTAAAATCTGTTTTTAAGTGATGGGGTCATAAAATATGATGTCACATAATGGCATCACTTGGTAGTGATCCCTGTTGCCATTGTTAAGTGAGGATCTGCTTGGGACAAGGATCTGTTAGCTTCCAAAGACCAAAGTCAGTGGGGAAGCTAAGAGGAAGTCTCAGGAAGTTTACAAATAGGCCGGAGGGCAGGTAAGTGGCTGTCACAATGTGAGCATGACCAGGTGTGCTAGGTTCTTCAGTTGGTGGGAATGTATGCAGGTGGCTGCTTCAGCCTGGTACAACCGGGTGCAGTTGGTACAGCTGCAGAGTGGGTGCTCTTAAGGATAGGAAAACATGCAGACAGTTGATGCAATCCAACACAAGCACAATCAGACACTTGGTGATCCAAACACGTGGTTGCTGCAGACTGGCACAAGTGTGGCCAGTAGGTAAGGTCTATGGAGTGCAACAGAGTACATGGGAAAGTGGAGGGAATGACTTACAGGAACAATTTTCTGGCTTCCACATTGACTTTGCTTGGCAATCATAAGACCAGATGGCACTGCAACAGGGTAGGTATGAGCTAGTTGCCCATGTTGATCATGTGACTGTTGGGAGAGCTAAGATGGCCTGAACTTCAAGGACTGGCGTTAATTATCTCTAATTTATTGCCACTGTAACTTTGAACAACTGCAACAAGGACCACCTATATCTTCTTTCATTGTGTTCCCAACTATCAACAACTAAGCTGCTACTTTTGCTCCGCTATCATTTAAATGTAGAAGTAAACATTTAAGTTCTTACTTGCAGTTCTAGCCATATTTTATTGTATCTTTTTACATATAATCCTCTTTTTATTATCACATTTTACAATCTTACTTTTTTGTTGTATTTTATGGAGTGCTATTATGTTATAACCTGTGGTTACAACAATACTCTTACTACTTACTTAAAATGTAATATATACTATTGATAACTTGATAAACAGAAACATTATTTTCTAGGAATAATTACATTAATGTTTACAATTGTCTATGAATTTTATACTACATAATTTTATTAAGAAATATCTTGCTGAGCTATAATTATTTTCATTTATTTCTACAATTATTGCTAGTTTGCCTTCATTTGGGTCATTCACTAAATGCAGTTTGATGTGTACAGAGAAATATGCACCAAGTAACATATGTAACAATATCTTACCTCCATAGTGTGAGTTTTCCCAGATGATGTTTGTCCATAAGCAAATATTGTACCATTGTATCCTTCAAGCACATCTACAGTAGAAAGAATATACATTAATAATAGATTCCATAGTAGCTTCATGCAAAGCACTATACTTTGAAATCAATGCTCTTCTTTGAAAGATTCATTAAGTTTTGCTCCAGAGAGTTCAAAACACTTGCATGCAATAAAACTGTCTAATAAAGTAAGACAATTGTGGAAAAAAGGAAGAACAGATATTTGATCTGGGCAAATATTTAACTTCTTGGCAGATCAGGAGTTTCAGATAAGGAGTGCATATTACAGTACCTCCCTAACAGAGTTTCTATTATTTAATTAAGCATTAAGAACGGTGTATACTGAACCTCATCCTTAAGCATTCATTAGATATCAGAGACTGTTTTCCTAAATATGGCATGGCTGAATTATAGTGGCTCCATATGATATTCCATAAAAAGAAACTTCTAGACAAAATCTTTGCAATAGTGCCCTTGCATACTTGTTGCTACTGCTGCTTTCTCAAATATGGTTTTAATTTGTACTTCTTATTCACTAGCAACACAATCTTTAGTGAAACAAGGAAACAACCACTATGCATTCTCAGTTCTCTTTCACCCTTACTTATCTCTTATTTCCATTTCATTTGCTCATATTCCCATCTTTGTGTCTTTATGATTATTCTCTCAGCAGCAAGAAGCAGCAACAAGTACAATACTTCCCACACAGTGAGTTTACAACAGTTAAAAGACAATATTCAAGAAGCTAATTGAAAATAAAAAAAAATGTGCACATGGTTTTCTATCTAATAGCCAATTGCAATACATGAGAAAAATCAGTTTGAATCAATTATTTAATTACTATTATAAATTTGGGTTTATTTTGTAAATTTTGGAGTGGTTAGCATAGTTCTGAAAGATATATGAAAAAAAAAATCTGTCCGTTCAGACATTAGACTGAATTTTAACTCTGCATCAGATTAAAAGAACAAATTAGTTTTTGAACCCAAACTATGCTGTTTGGTCTTGATACTAAATCAATATTTTAAAAGACAAAACAGGCTACAATAAGGCTACAAAATTACACCTGTGACTCACATATTTTATTATTATTCGAATAAAGTTGTCTCCTCTTACCTTTAACAATCTTTTTAGCACAATCATTATATACTTGCTCTTGTGATGTCTGTGACTGGAATACATGGTCAAATGCATAAGGCTTAGACTGGAAAAATAAACATAAAAGTAAAGTTAAAAATTTAGAACAATCCTTTGGTATTCCAATTAATCTTGCGTCATGGGTTGTATTGTATACCTCTAATGTTTAACAAAAATATTTTTTAAATTAAACCTCATACATTTCTTTGAAAAGACTAATTTTCTTTCAAGTTGCATATTTGTTTTATTATTAGACTTCTATGTCACCCACCTGGTCAATTTAATGATACTGAAACTAATTTAAAAAATGCCAGTAAGAGGAGAAGTAATTTTCAAGGTTAATTTTATCCAATGCTTCAGAGTATATTAGTTTTAATAAATATATATGTATGACTGTCCAGCAGATTTTTCAGACAACAATGAAAGCAGTGATTTAACCATTAAATCTGGTCTAACATGTCTTTGAAAATGTTAGAAAAAATACAGGGATCCAATATAACCTGAAACTAAATTAATTTTAACTTTGAATAATTTGATTATTTCATCCCATTTTGATGACAGTCAGTTATAGAGAGTATAAAAATAGTAATCCAAAAATATATTAACTGATAAAACAAGAGATTTTTAAGAATTGTAATACACTGTGCTAATGTTAAATTAAGAACAAATCAGAATCAATGTTTTTAATGTCTAAAGACTGCCCATATACTCAACACTCATAAAGAGTTAAGCAAAGAGATATGAAATGATATTTCATAATTCTATGAAGTACTAACTAAGATTGATTTTAAAGGCTACTTCAAGAAATATGGTAATACTTTCAGAAACTGTATCATTTCCAACTAGGTAAGAAAAAGTAACTTTAACAGCCACACAGTTTTTGGTTCAAAATACATTTTTTTCTTCTAAGAATATACTAATACTTTTATTAACTTTGTTAAATGTGTTTTATGTAAGTCACTACAAAGCTGATTTCACAAAAACCACCATATTCTTAAAATATACTGAAATATGTTTCATACTAGTACACAATAGCAAAAACAAGTAGCATTAAGAGAATAAAAAAATGCAGTTTACTGATTATAAATTTGTTATCACCTGGTGTTTTAAAGCTTTCTAAATTCTAGAGAAAATTGTTGTTCTAATCATTACAAATTTATAAACAAGAATTTCCATTTTGTTTTAATTAAAACATTTTACAAGTTAATAAATTAGATTTAGAGAAGTATGAGGAGTATTAAAGAAAAATCTAGCATTATATTTATTGTTGATTTCTTTTACCATTTAAACCCATAGGACAGAAGGCCTATCTAGTCTAGGCATTGTGAGAAGGTGAAAAAAATGCTGCCACTTTAAGATATCCTTATACAGTCCTCTTTATTCATTAGAGATGTGCTATGTTCATATAAGTTATTGTTCCTTAAAATTTCCAATGGATGCATAACTGTTATTTGTTTAACTTACAATAACTTTATTAAAATTAGGTAGTAAACTTTGCTTATGATATTAATTTCCTAATCTAATGACATCAGTTGACAATCAAAGGTTTCTTGATTATTAATCCTGACTGCTGTAATTTCTTTCAGCATCAGATCAACCCCCTTTCACACTAGTTATAAGGAACAATGGGAAAGTAGAACTGTCCACATGTTAACTGTTTTGAGAAAATATTGGGTTTCAGCCTTTAATCTGAACAAACACGACTTCATTTTTTTAGGAACTACATGGCTTATTGTGACAGGTTGAATTCCCACAATAGTGACAAACTTTTCAGTTGATTTACCCAGCATGCAGCATGTATCCATGTTTTATAGAGATCTCATGAAAAAACTCCATTCATCACATCAGATTTTGGAATCGCTGAAAAGCAGCCACAAAAAACAAAACAAAAAACACCGTGGCATCTGCCAGAAAACTTAAGGGTGCGGCATCAAAAATAATTGTTCATTATAAGGTCAAATAAAAACTGTGGATGTTCATAAATTATGAAATAAAAAGGTCCCTGTACCCCATTTTAAACAATTCTGAAGGTAACTTCATGCAAAAATTCTGCTTGCTTATCAGAAACCTTTATCTCTGTGTGTGTACCTGATATCCACACATTGTACATAAAGCACAAATAATGTGTCCATCCTAAGTATGAAAGCTGGCTTGGTGACTTTAGGACAGTCACTGGCGTTTGGCCCAACTCACATCACAGGGATGTTGTTGTGCCTTGAGTTATTTATAAAAATAAAAAAGGGATTAAAAAATCTAAAATAAAAAATGTGCTGTGCAAAATAATTAGCAGTCCTGAATACTTTAAAAACTAAGCAGCAACAAAGCTTTATATTATGGCCCTACACCACATACCTTGAGAAATTGGAAAAATTCATTGTTGAAACCATCACAAATGTTACATAGCTAGATTAGTTTTTTAGAACAAACATGACAAGTATTAGCAAAATGTATATATGGTAGAAATATTCTGCTTCTGTAACTTGGCAGTAAATTTCAGTATGTGAAATTTGCTTTTAAAGTTGTTATATTTTATATTAAACACAGAAATATATTAGAGAAATACAGATAGGCCCTCCTTAGTAAACTGCTTGCTTGCAACAGGTAGTCAATCTATATTTCAATAGCCCTCAAAGCATCCTTACTCCATACATAAAGTTAATATTTTGTTAGGTCTCAGTTAGGACTTATTTTCACTTCTTTCTTAACTCCTCCCAATACAATTGTAGTCTTTTCACAATGAAACCAGAGTAGACTGAACTAATAAAGAAAAGACAAAAAGATGTGATAAGCCAACTCAAATATCTAAAACAAACAAAAAGAAAACCTTGCTGGGGAATTAATATATATGCTATATTTCCAAAACAATTTTTATTAAAAGATTTTAAATATTTAAGAACTATGGTAAAAAAAATGTGAAAAAGAAAAAAAGGAGTTAGAAAAAATTGAAAACATTTTAGATATCTATTACAATCTTCATCTGGGCAGTTATACATACTATTCTAATCGATTTTTTCTAAGATTGTATCATAATTCCCTTCTATGACTTTTTTTAGTAGGCATGCTGTAAATATTGAGCCTTAGAAGAAAAAAACTTCATAATATGTATAATTCTATGACACTTGCAAAGTTTTATGTATCACAAAAATGTCTCTATATATTGTTTTATAAAATGCATATGGCCAAGTTGCTTTTTGTGCCAAATATAGCCATTTTAGACAAAGATAGCATACCTCAAATTATTCAATTCTTATAGCTCCAAAGTTGGATCCGGTAATGCAAATGTACACAAGGCTACTTCTGAAGACCGCCAAAGAATTAATTCAAAGTGTCATTTTGATATTGATAGACTATTACCATAATTATAAAAAACCCAGGAAAATATGGAAGAAAACAGAATCTTTTTTTCAAACCACTTGAGAAAAATAAGGTATTCTTATTATTTCTCCTCATTTCCCCAAGGTCTTTAAAGCTGTTTATGATTTGCAGCATATTTTCATTTCTTAAAGAATATGTACTTCCTCCTCCACCATTTCCAAGTACAATTCAAAATGGTATCAGTTTTCAAAATCTTTTAAAGCTTAGGACAAAGATACCAAAACAATCTTATTACTTCTTCAAGTGAGACAAATCGTTCTGGAAATATTAAAACAAATTCTGCAACATGTCTTTAAATATGTGGCTATTTCAGCCCCAGCTACTGCTTAGTAGTAATGAGGAATAATTATTACAATGGAGGTAAATTTGCAACAAATAAAACCATTTAGGTTAGGGAACATTGCCATAAAGAAATGATGCGTCATACCTGGCAACTGAGTAAATCTGAATTGAATAAAATAAACTCAAAAGGAAAATCTTTTCAGTAGCTTCACCAGAAATGCATCTCTGAAATGCTCTTCCTGGGAGACCTCTTGGATCTAATACTCCTTTTTTCATATTTCCTTAGATTTCTAAGGAATTTTTCAAATGCTGGGCAGATTTTTTTATGCCATGCAGATTACTCACACAAGTTGTATTTGGATAGCAAGAACAATCTACCATATTTTTTGATATATAAGATGCACTTTCCCCACCACAAGTGGTTGGAAATGTCTATGCATCTTATGGAGCGAATGTTGCCAAAGCCCTGCCCCTCCCACCCCCATCCTCTCTCTTCCAGCAATTTGCCTCCTTGCAGCAAGCAGACTGGTCAGCTTCAGCACAGCCTGATTTAGCAAGAGCAACTGATTGGCAGTGGGACCTTTCTCCCGGAATACTATCAGCTGTTCCAGGCTGCGAGGATTGCCACCGCCACCTATTGCAATCTCCTCACACCCCATTTTCAGTCTCCACGCGCCCCATTTTTGGCCTGTTCCAGGTGGCGGGGATAGGCGGTGGCAACCCCCGCAGCCTAGAACGAGTCAAAAACAGGATGCAAGGCAGCTGAAAATGGGGCATGTGGAGGCGGCAGTGATCTCTGCAGCCAGGAACAGCCGATAGGTGGTATTCTGGGAAGCCAATCCAACAGCCAATCATGCTAAATCAGGCTGTGCTGAAGCTGACCAAGCTGTTTGCTGCAAAGAGGCAAATTGCTGGGAGGCAGAGGCAGACCTTTTTTTGTTTTCCTTCCCAAAAGCTAGATGTGTCTTATAGTCTGGAGCATCTTATAGTCTGAAAAATATGGCAGCTAACTTACAGTTGTCAGCTCTTCATAAAAAGTGACATTTTCACAAAACTTCACTATAGTAAATTAATTAGAATAAGCTATTTAGACAAAATTTTAAAAAGGATTTGCAGATGATGTTTGTTACAATTCATCTGAAAAGAACATAATACATTATTAAATAAGGCTCATACAATTTCTGAGTGAAAAAGTGGTTTTGAAATTCTTATCAAGAAATAATTGTTAGTAGTACTTATTACAAAGCGGTTATAAAGTGATCAGTCAAACCAAACACGTTTTTTTCCAAACCTTTCTTCTGTTCAGATCTGAATTAACTTCAACTACAGTTCAATAATAACATTAAGCTCATCTTCCATATGTAAACATTCATGTTTTTGTTTGAAGAAAATCTACAAAATGAGGTTAGATATTCCAGAATGCCAAGTCCAGAAGCATTAAGAGTCTAGCATAAAAGCATTCCAAAGGCTCAGCAATAACATTTCTGTCCCACATATGCATAGTTTAGAACTAAATTATGAATGCTTTTCTGCAAACACCTATAACATTAGTAATGGAATCCAAGTTGTGCTTTAATTTTACTTATACAGTATCGTTTGATAGCCTGTTTAATTAATGCAAGTTCAAGTTTGATATCCAATGATCTATAAGAATTTGCTGAGATAGAAATCTATCCTTACTATGAATGTGTCAATTGCTATCAATTAACTTGCTGGAAAACAGTGAATTAGATAATCACACTACTGCTCCTAACATGCACTTACTACAGACTTTACAGCCCCACAAGGGAGATCTTCAATATTCTGTGAACACAAGAGCCTCACCAGTGGGTTTTGTTTTGATGCTTTTGAATACTTCACTTGTTCTGCACAATAAGGCTTAGAACAACATGGAGCTGACTGCTTTTCTGTAAGTTCAGTACCTTTTCAGATACTTGCATGACCCCCAGAATTGACAGCTGTTCGAATTCTTCCCTTGATTATGTGAGAAGTGCTCACAGCTTGGGCCCAATCTCCTAAACAAATACTTCCCATGGGATGCCAGGCCTCGTTCAGCCCTTCCCTTCTGGCTTCCCACAACTCCACTCGGGCAGTCCCACCTCCAGGTCTCTCACAACTTCGTTCATCTCGGGCGCAGCCCCCGCTTTTGGTCCCAGCATCAGCTTCCCATTACCCAATACCTTTCCCCTGCTGCCAACCCTATCAATGGAACCAGGTCCTTCCAATCAATGGCCAAGCCTTTGGGGGCGACCCAAAGACCTCGCAGCCACTCCTCGTTCATTTCTCCTTCTTCCCACCCGGCCTCTCCCCTGACGCCCGCCTTCCTCTCACCGCGATGACGACGGTATCTTCGCCCTGGAACTTGGCGATATACTTGTCGCCTCGAATCACTTCCGAATCGTTGAGGGGTCTGAAGCGACACATCACTTTGATGTTGCACTCCGCCGGGTCCGCCATCTTAGGCCAAAGCCGCCGCCGCCGCCGCAGCCACCGTTTTCCCTTCTGGGATGCTGCCTGTCAAGCTCCCCTGCCGCTCAGATCCTGAGACCCCTGCCGAATAATCTTGGTCAAGGGGAATCACTACGTCCTTCTCCGCACTGGTAATGAAGAAGGGCTTTTCCGCCCCTACTCTACCGCTACCTCCTGCAATCACTTCCTTTCTAATATGGCAGCCATGAAGGCATCCGCGACCGGCGAAACCGAGACCTCCCCTTATTTAAAACGAGGGCGGAGTTGACAGCTGGCTTGGGAAGAGTGACATCACCTTCCACAGGGATGCCAACGGCGTCTTCTTTCCCACTCTCTGCGCAGGCGCGGAAACGGCTCGAGTTCTTTTAGCGTGAAAGCCAATGGAGCCGTCAACTCAAGCGGGCGGGGCTGCACCGCATCGCGCATGATCGACAAACGGAAAAGCTGAGATTTCGAGCAGGGAGGATATTGATGCGCAGGCGCCCACTTCCAACGAGGGAAGTGCGGGACGCAGATGCTGGCGAAGGGAGAGGTTGACTGGTTCCTTTCAGAAAAGCTAATCGTCGTAGCAGCACCGACTTCATCCTAGGATGAGAGACCGTCAGGGAATCTCAGGGATAAATAGAAAATTGAATAAACTTTGCTCAGTGAAGGGAATAACAATATATTTTTTATTTATGTATGTTTACAGTTGTCTCCAGGAATTTTTACCTGATATGTAAATTATGTGGTCAACTACTACGGGATCGTGGTACTCAAACGTTTTACACCCGCAGCTTTGTTTGCAGGAGTGTTAATCTATTACAGCCGCATTTCATTTTACTATGTTGTGTGAACCCAGGCAGTCGTTGAAGGTGGTTCTGTGTTCTCTAAACGAAGTCCGAAAATTAGATCAACTAGTCTGGTTAAATTGGTTATTCATTGATGATATAGGCTGCTCCAGATATGACTCATTCTGAGCAATGTACTCCTCCCAACATTTTTTTTTAATTGAAACAATAGGATTAAAATTACAGAACTCAGTAATATTGCCTTCATACAACACCAGAAACAATAAGCTCTCTTGTCTATTTCAAGTTTTTGTAGCTGCCCAATTCAAATTAATCTGAACAATATAACATAAATGCACAAGAAATAACAAGAAATCAAAACTGGCAATTAATAAACATCTACAAAACTAAAATGCAACCAAATAGACAGCAAAACTACCTCAGGGGAACTCCCACTCAACCAGCCTGGGAGTAAAACTAGGTCTTAGGAGCGTCCCTAGAAGCAGAGTTGAAACCTGCCATGTTATCAGGGATATTGAGCCAGTGAAAAGGCAACGATTGGGGGGGGGGGGTAAGCTTCCTAGGTTCTGTAAGATGACAAGATTTAGAAGGAACCTAGTCCTAGAGCATACCTACCTGTGGGAATGTGTGGGACAGGCAGACTGCAGGAGAAGGTAGTGGTTCAAGCATCCCAGTTTCTTGCCATGTAAGGATTTAAAGGTAATGATCAGCACCTTGAATTGCATCCAGAAAACTATTTGGAGCTATTGCAGTTTGCAGAGTAACAGTATTACACAGGCATAACGAGATGCACCTATAACTACCCTGACTGCTGCACTTTGTACCAAGTGAATGATCTTCAAGAGAAGCACCCATAGAGTATGTTACATAGTTCAGTGAGGAGATGACCAAAGTATGAGTGATCATGAACAAGACCTTTTACTGGAATAGAGAACAATTTCACAGCATTCCAGCCCCAAGGTCCAATCAATGTTTTATGGTACTTTCCCCCAAAAGGAAGGAAGGGGCTTCAGGAGAAATTTGATTCCATGTGTAGCCATATCAAGTAAACATCTGATTAATATTTTGTTTATTTTGTTTATTATTTATTATACAAGAATGGAGAATATAAGCAAAATACCAAAATACTCATAATTAAACAAACCATAAAAATAATAAAGAACAGAAGGAAGGAATAAGTAAACAATATATATATATTAAACATAGTTAATTTACCAAAATTTATAATACTGCAATTCTACTCAGATAAATGTATTATTATAAAATGCCATAAAAGCTATGTCAAAGAATAATGTGTTGTCTTGTTCTTTGATTAGTAGAAAGTATATCCTTTTCCAGAATAAATGTTACGCATTACCAAAGACCAGTCCTTAGTATCTAAAATAATATCACATTTCCAATTTCTCAATAGTATTTTATTACACACGGAGGGAGGAGGGAGAGATAGACGAAGGAAGGGGTATAAATATAATTCCTCATAAATAGTCAGACTCCCAAACTTTAGTATATGATTCAACATTACATTAATGTTTGTAGCATATAAAGATTTCCTGATAAATTTAGTAATATACATTAAAATACTATTCCCAACAAAATGTCAAAAATCTGCAGGATTTTATCACACATATGAGTCAATAAAGATATCACCAATAAAATCTGATGTCCACCTTTTCAGATATATTCTCCTGGGTATACAATACACAATTGAATTTTTGATTAATCAGCTTTAATCTCAAATCTGCAAATACTTTCTGAACATTTATAAGAATATTAAGTCAATGATTCAATTTAACAATTAACATTTTCCACTCGCTCTGCTAGTGTGATGTCAACTCAATAATTTTGCTAGTGATGATTTAAGAAGGACCTACCCTTGCAACAGTCTGTCAACGTTGCCTTATAATAAAGCAGAATTAGTTTATCTTGTTATGTTTCCTGTCTGGCTTATCTGGATGGCTGATACGAATTTTACAAGACTTAAGGTACAAACTTTCTGCTGCCATTTTTAATTGCTTGATCTTTGAGGGTGGGTCCTTCATAAGTTTCTTTCTCTGACAGTTAAACCACTGGGGTTCCTGCATCTCTTGTTTGTCTGATTGTTTCCCTCTTTCCCCAATGCCATTCCTACATTCCATTATGCCACCTTTATGTTATAACTTGATGCATTTGGTTACCTAGCTATTATGTTTGGGTGTATCACTGTTTAAAAAAAACTATGACTTAGCATAGAGTGAAAACCCAACCTTTGTATTTTTAATTTAGGAACTTGGTTCCTTAAAAGCAACTTAGTGCAGTAAAACATGTTTTTAGCTCTCCATGAAGATCATGTTGTAACAAGCTTACATATCTAATGCTAATAAATCATAAAGGAATGTTCTGTCTAATCAGGGCCAAAAAAGCTATGCTACACAATCACATAAATACTAGATTCAATAATTATTTAGAGGGTTGATTGTTTGGTTATGTGTAAAACTTATTTGCCACCCATCTCATATCCAAAAACTGGGTGGCTTACAACAAAATATTAAAGCAAAAAAAAAAAAAAAAAAAAAACAACCAACAGTCATGGTACACAG